CCCCCCCCCCCCCAGATTACGATTTTCCTCCACCAACTACCGGGCACAAAGGTTTTGTGATTTCCACCTTGTGTGGAAAATGTAATCCGAGCTGAAGGAGAGGAAATCATTTTCCTTCATTTGGTGGAAAATCAGGCGCGTGAAGGAAAATAAGGAAAAAGTTTTACCTAGAAAATTAAAGCCATCAAACATGTTAAAAAGTGGGAAAAAGAATTCATTTTTCATTTTCCCTAGAAAATAAGGCCTATCAAACGGGGCCTAAATGATTTTAATAAATTTAAAAAATTAACTTATTTATTAAAACATAAACATCAGATGTCAAGTGCTGAATTCCAAAGGGAAACATTTACGGGCTCCCCTGCCACGGGTTAAACAATCCACTATTATATTCGGCCGCAACCATCACTTCAATTAGGATTCACCAATCTTAATAACGCCAAATAACTTGATCTTTGAATAGGATTAAACATTCGGTGCATGTTTTTTTATTCTCCAAATACTTGAAGAAGACGTTGGCTTTGAAAATATTTTGTAAAGCATTACTTTGGTATGAACTCTTTCGAGAATGATAGAATTGCTCGCTCTTGGTAAACAACATAACTATTTGCCGTTGGATAATGGAAGAACTACTTGCTACTCAAAAATGGCAGAACTGCTAACCACGAGTTTACGAAACGAAATTAGGTTTTTCAAAGCTTCATTTTGAATTAATCAATGAAACATCATGTCCTATGTGATTTCTTGAATTTAACAGAGCCACGACTTGTAAGGGCAATGACGAAAAAATACATTCAAAGCTATTAATTCACTTCTTTTTTCTTCCTTTACTTACGTAAAGCAGTAGCCAAGATTGGAATTAAAACCTTATTTGAGCCCATTTTTTTTTTCCCCAAAATACATTTTAAGATAGCATTTTGTTGGAGAATGTGTGGTTAAAAAGTAAAGAAATTTTTTCGATTGTAATTGAAAATGAGTTTTGAAAAGAATGAATGCCAAACATACTCTAAATCTTACCTGAAATTATACACAATAAAACCGATAAAAATATATCAATATCACAAAAGATATTTTTGATATGGCAATCAATAAACTTAAAGAAAATTTAATATTAAATAATCTTTCCTTAATTTTACTTAATTGACATACGGAAGAATATCTAAGATGGTAAGTAAATAATTATGTACTTAGCTGCAATATCGAAACTGAAAATTGCATCCTATTTTGGGTATTAAAATCCTAAAATCCGCAACCACAAATTCTTTTGAAAACTCGTATAATCGAGTGAGTTATGACGGAATGCATGAATTGCATCCTATTTTTCACCTTTTTGACAATTGTCCTTGACATTTAAAAATCATTCTATATTAAGTAAGCCAATAAAATTAATATGTAAAAGCCCAACACATTGGCATTAGTGCAGCTCTATCATCTCCAAGCGTAATGCTATTTAGCACCAGTTTAGATGACAATTAGATGTCATTAAATGATATGTTCATTTAAATGTAAAGTCAATACATTCATTTAATTGCACGTATCAAATGTGACCACCTAGATTAATGTTTTAGCACCATCGGTTCTAGATAACATTACTTTATTTGCAGTTGTAAGTGGGATTGTAGGTGTGGCACAACATTCATATCAATACTAATAGCGACAAAGTTGGCCGAATTCTGTTAATAATGGGAGGAATTTAAGCCCCTGTTTGGGCGCTATTTATTTTCATTAAATTTCATTTTCCATGGTCAAAAAGTGTGGGCTAGCGGGACCCACTGACACATTCTTATCAAATTTGTACTTGTCTCTGCAGGATGTACATTCATTCTCAGTTTTTTAATCCTTTCCATTTAAGCACAAATGTCAATATTGCCCCTCCCCCCCACCCACCTACCTTTTTGCCAATGTTGAACTCCACAGTTATTACCAGTGTAAGGATATTTGTGGAAATATGAAAATGAGATAAGGGTATTTTTGTCATTCAATTTCCAACGGTAATAATGATATTGCTTACCTTTGACAGAGACGGTGGAGTGTTTGAATTGCTTACTGACAGCACGTATCTTGAAAAGTGAGAAAAAAAAATGTAATGCCAAAAAATGGCGCCCAAACAGGGGCTAAATGTATGTCTCTCAATTGGCTTTTGGAGGAATTAAACAAAGGATATGCTCTTCTGATTTTGGTATTGATCTGCATATATCTTGCTGGTTTGGAGTTTCATGGGGTCCATTAGGCTGGTTAATTCCCAGTGAAATTTTTCCCTCGGAAACGCGATCGGCCGCACAAAGTATTTCAGTGGCAGTAAACTTCCGTGGTTAGCCAAACACTTTTATCAATGCTTTGCCATTTTCTTCTTCTTTAGAGGCGGGTAGCAATTATGACTGCATTTGTTTTCAAGTTATTACCAGAGAGAGAATTTTTCAATTGCTCGAATGGATAGGGAGAACACTGGTTTTGCCGTTTTGAAAGAAAATTGTGAGAAACAACAGAGAGGTGATTGGCAAAATAGATATTGGAGCATAATTGATTCTCATCGCTGCAAATATCAAATATTCCACGGAATTTATTTTGTATGTATTCATACTTCATGCCTCATGCCATATATTATATTATCCTACTGACTTCTATAAAGTTTGTATATTGAATATTGGCATCAATATATAGTTGGAATCAATATTTTCAAATTTGCACAAAGAAAAAAATATCAAGAGGATGAAATCATTTTCCCAATGAAAATTGAAAAAATCACGTGATAAGTGCGAGTTTTTGCACTTATTCGCACCATTAATTTAGATATTTGTGAGTTTTTATTATCAATTTATTACTTAATTTAGTTATTTTTATTTTATAGGTGAAAACTCGAGTTTGAATGATGATTGAAGGAATTTATGCGAGAAATGAGCAAAAAG